CAAGGAATTCAATAGTGATATTGCTAATTTCCGGAAGTTCTGGAATTTGAACACAATTTTGATTTTTTAAATGGAAACCTATATCTTATTTGGCATCACTGGAGAGGGTTTTCGAAAAAAAGTTACTTTTACTTGAAATTTTTTTAATATCTCTTACTGTTCTCAAGATAATAGATACGAAAAAATTCTGATTATTTACTTCAATTTATCATTTTTATCAAAAATGATTAACTTAAATTATCAAAATCGCTTCAATTTTTATAAAACATGGAAAGAAAAGCACAAATGTGTTTTAATGAAGGTATAAGACATTATGACAAAAAAAATTTTTTTTAGTGAATATGTCAAAATCTATTTAATATGTATTTTTTCTTATAATTAACTTGAAAATAGTAAGAGATATTAAAAAATATTTTAAGTAAAAGTTATTTCTTTTCAAAAACTGTCTCCAAATGATGCCAAATAAGATGTAGGTTTCTATTTAAAAAATCAAAGTTGTGTTAAAATTCCGGTATTTCAGGCTACTTGCGGGAATTAACAATATCACTATTGAGTTCCTTTGGGTTGATTTAGTAATAAGATTTTTTATTTCAAATCTATTATTCGCTCCATTCTCGAAAAACATGGGTGGCACGCATGGTCTGAATCACCCTGTATTTTATAACTTAATATTAAATTAGTTCCTAGAGATACTGTTAGATGTAATTGTTGATACATGATAAAATTAAATAAATAAATGTCCGACTGTGAGTCTTTAGTGCTGTGTAAGATTCTCTTTCTTTATTGTTTCCAGTATTGCACAAACGTGAACTTTTATTTCATCCAGTAGAATTTTCTACAGTGTGTACTCTTCACTAGACTTTTAACATAATGTATTATTTGCTTTTGTGTGTTTTTTAAATTCCATTTGGTAAGTACCTATTTTGAAATTTTATTTCAATATTGCGTAGGTATTAAGTTCCAGGGATTTCCTAAGGATCGTTATCGACCCCCAACCGGTCGAAGGAATTTTAAGGACTCTATAAGGACGAAGGGGTTATGGGGGCCTATTGTCGAATTTGTACCGTACTAAAACATTAAAAGTAAAAACTAGTTTAGCCTCAGAATTCAATAGCATATCTATTTGAATACACTATACACTTCATTGTCTTCTAGTAAAAATAGTAATAAAGTTGATATTTGTTTGTATAGCAAACTGACTAATACATATTGTATTTATTCATGCAACATTTTTTCATATTTTGATTGGAAAATTAAAGAATTTTTATGAAACAGCCATTCATTAATGGGCTCTTAATCTTGTTAACTGCTAAAGATAAATGTCTGTTACTAAATGTCTGTCATTTTCAAACTCAGATTCAACTGTAAAGCCGTTATATGTCACATTGATTACAAGTTTAGAAACTATACAACAAAATTCAAATTTCAACCCAGATATCCGTGCAAAGGCAAAAATTTTTTTAGAATCATTTTGCAAATATGAAACAGTAATCACCGCCAAAATATTCTCAAGAATATTTGAATTAACTACACCGCTCTCCCAATATTTGCAAACTTCTGGTTTAGATATCTTGAAAGCTTTTGGAATGGTATCACAAGCGTGTTCAGAACTAAAAAAATAGTGAGAGATTTTGAAGGTGTACAAAAAGTTAGATGATTTTATTATTCGCGTAAATAAGGAATTTGAAGAAACTGAAATAGAAATTCAAACAAAGTTTCCACAAAAAAAGAGTGAAGAAAAGAAAATTCATGCCAGTTGAGATAGCGTTGAATGAAACAGTTTTTGATGATGAAACCACTGCATTTAAGATAAACGTCCATAACATTATTTTCAGCACAGTTGTAGAGTCAATGGAACGCCGGTTTCCTGCAAATGGAAAACTGTACGCTGATTTTTCCTATCTAGATCCGAAACATTTCCCTGAAATACATCTTAACAAGCTTCAATCGGGCGAACTAAATGAGTTAAGCAAACTCTTGCTAAAATTTGACGAAACAGCTGTAAGTGAAAATTTGCGAATTGAACTAAGAAATTTAGCTTTACATTGGGAAAAACTGAAAAATTCAGACCTAGAAGATTATTAAATAATAAGAGAAGATCATTCAAATGAAGATAATAATGACTTTACTTTGGAAACAGAAGAAGTAAACCTAAAATGTGAAACACGCAGTGCGTGCAAAAATTGTGTTATTTGTTGCTACAAGATATTACAGATATTCAATTTATTGACCAATTCTTACAATTTAATTGGTCCAGCATTAAAATTTTTACTAACATTGTCAATTAGTCAGGTGGCTTGGGAAAGATCATTCTCCACATTAAAAGTAATTAAAAATCGAATGGGGAGTACTTTATCTTCGGATAATTTGAATGCTCTAATGGTAATGGCAATAGAAAAAGATCTATTAATGAAATTAGATAGCGACGACATAATCGATAAAGTGGCAGAAAATAGTGAGCTTCTTCAAAAGTCATTAAATTAAATTTTAATTTAGTGACTTTTGCAGAAGCATTAAATCTATTTTTAAACAAAATGTTTAGATAAATCATTCATGTATGTGCAGTATAATAAATATTTTTATTTACTCTTCATCTTTCACCTTTTTGATTTTATCAACCTATGTTTCCTCATAAGAACCATGCATTTTAAATTGAAATATATTCCAAAAAGGATTATTATGCAATTTTAATCTACTTTCTTACTTCGATAAATTAACTTACGTTCATGAGAATTTATAAGTAAAAAATGATACATTAGGAGCCGCGTAGGCTTCGCGTACACGGTGTTTATCTGAAGTAGAGGGCCGATATCTCCAAAATGCTCGGGCCGATTTTAGATCCCAGTCCGGGCCTGGCTGTTACTAATATAAAATTTAAAGTAAATAAGATTATACCACAATATAAAACGAATGAGCAATATAAATATCAATGATCTAAATAGCAAAACTGACCATGTAAAAGAGGGGTTTAATTGATAATATTTAATAAAAATTAAACAGCAAATGATCCCCTAACAAGTCACATTAAAAAATTCAAATTTACAACACCTGACATTAATTTATTTTCCCCCAATGCCCACCTGGAGAATGACCTTTCATCATACAGGCAGCTGAAGGGCAGATTTGTTGGCCACTTTTTCAGGGGCACCATATCAGGTGGGCCAACGTTACTTCCACAGTAGATAGTACAGCGAAGTAAAGAACATCCATGCCTTGCCCAAGATTCGAACCTCTATTATGCAAGGTCAGTTCCCTGACCCTTACACAGGCCGGTTGACATATTAATATTTATCAATTGAAGGATTTAAAATCGATACCGATTGGTCTTTTGATTATTTTTAAAAAAAATGTACAGTAGAAATTTTCAATAGTGTGGTCATTTTTCAAAAACAAAAATATATATATAAAAAAAGAGGTAAATGATAGAATGTAGAAAAGTATGGCTGTAAGGTAAACCTTGTGTTTAGTAGATTAGCTACTACTGTACTTTAGACAGCAGAAAATGTTACACAAAAATTGACTTATTTATTATTTTTTGCATCATATATGGAATCACATGCATAGATTCAAAAGACTAACAGCTAAATTGTAAACAATTATCTTCACTTTTCTAATTAAATCACATTTTCTGAACCTAATCATTGATGACATAAATAAAATTCAAAGCTAAGTTTAAATAAATATTTTTTTAAAGAAATTTACCACTATTACAACAAATAGAAAATTGAAGAATAAAAAAATTATTGTGCTTTTTAAACACACATTTAAAATAAAGTAATGCAGTACAGGATGTTATAATAATGCAGGAATTTTAGTTACAGTACATATAATGTAAAGTAATTTGATACTTACCATGGAAAATATGAGAGCACCAACACAAGCATAAACCAGCTGCACAATCTAGAAAAGAAAGATATCATCAATAAGGTACGGATAATTCTGATTTGGTACATAGCATACAAAGTAAGTATTATTAGAACATGTAATGAGGGGGAAAATGACAAATACATACCCGATCATGGAGGAAAATAGCCAAAAATCCAAAGATAACAAAGCACAGCAGAGCCACAAACAGAAATCCTCCCATCATGGTAAAATCATACTGTTAATGAAAGATAATATTTAAAATTTATGGGAAAATAATGATTTAGAATTGAATAAATTAGATCCAAATCTTACCTTGGTTTGAAACGCAAAAGCAGTCAAACCCAAACATATAAACTAAAAAGAAAGAAAAGTCAAAATTATTATTTTTTTTTTTTTAAAAAAGGTATAAATATTACAGTTTTACTTAACAATGAATTATGTTTCACTCACAGCACAAATTCCAGCAGCCCACATTACTTCCTCAGCTTCATAAGCACTAAAATGAGATAAAGACATAATCTAAACAAGAAACTAAAGACATAATCTAAACAAGAAACTAAAGTCAAGTGGAAAAAAAAAGCAAAAATTAATACTAAGTAGATAAGCATAATACTTCCCGTTTTTTATGCAAGTACCTTCATCGCCCAAACACAAAACGAAAGAGAGGAATACAGAAATGAGTAAGAAAAATACAAAACAAGTTATAGCAAGGAAAAAAAAAGTTGATTAAAAGAAAAGGGAGAACAAGTTGATAAAACAAAAGAAGGGGACTAAAAAAGCAACTGTGGTGTCTATGCTAAATTATTTCTGCAAACGGAATCATCCAGAATTCCGTAAACATACCTTTTTTCTACAAATATGGGTTTTGAATCCAAATTTTGGATTAAAAAGCATGGAGAGTAATCATAATCTAAAAATATTGTTTCCGATAGCTCAATCTGAAGAATAATCAAAAGTCTCAGTCCCTTAATGTTAACTTCATTTTTTATTGTATAAAATTATGCATTCAAGTGAATCAAACAATATTTGCTCACAATTATAAAACTTCTTTATTTATGTTTTAGATCTAGAAGAATAGAAAAAAAGAGAGAAATTAACATTAAAAGGGATCCAAACTTTCAATGAAGGGTAGGGGTAACCGGGCACCTCTATTTCGGTGAAATTAGTTGTTTTCTGGCGGACAAACGCTAACTTACATTCCACTATTTATCGACTGTGTCATCTCTCCAATGATCTTTTGCTTCTAAACTATTGTTGGCGAAAGATTTCCAAATTTTTTAAAAATAATTTTTCAAAATCTATTTTTTAAAAATCTAGGCCAGTTGGATTATTTATTTTAACTAAACACTCTGGTTAATAATTGGCAATGGTAGAATTTATTGTGTCAATCCCCAACATTATCCTCATAAACCCAAATTTATCTGTGAGGCCAAAGCTGGTTAAGAGATTACTATTGTAAAAAATCAGCTTAATTTAATATATAAACGTAAAGTAGCACTCACAAAGATATGGCTGAATTGTATCCAAAAAACTTTCTTTAAATTCAATAAAAAGGGGAATAAATTTCTATACTGTAAAAACCTGTGTAACAACTCATTTTACTTTTTTTGTTCTATGCAGTGTGCTGTCAATTCAGCATTGAAATTTTAATGAGAAACAAAATTACAGATGTTTAGAAAGGAGAGTTAACGTTAGAATAATTAGCTTTGCTCAAGAGGAGAATTCACAGAGGTAAACATTAATCACAATATAGAAATAAGAAGGAAATAAATTTTATAAAAAGGATGAAGTTGCAGATGATAATATTGGAATAAAAGTTATCCATTCCAAAAGACAAAATTAATTTGCAGTTTACTACCAGTATAATAGAGTATTTAAGTTTCATGAAAATTAGTTTCTTATACTCAAATTTATTCAAAATTTTTTGAGGTGATAAGTCTCATTTTAAGAAATTTAAAAGTTCCTTCTTTTTTTCATTTGGACACAAATAAAAGTTTATACATGCTTTCAGTGGCCTTAAAAAAATAAAGTGACACCTTGTCTAAATGTGAGATACTTTTACATCCACTTTAGAGCATTACCATTTTTTTCCTCAGCTTATACTTCTAAAAAGTTTTTTTTTACCCAGAATTACCCTTAAACATTTTTATTGTTACCTATCACTTTACTAGTGATAAGTAATAGTTTACAAGTTTTGAAATGATTAGTGAGACTAACTATTAAGAAGGAAAAAAGGAATTAAAACTAGAAAAGACACCTGAATTGAAAAGTTTGACAACCCTAGATTTAAACAGTTTATTGCAATCATACATACAATTACTTTACTTACCAAGCTGCAACTCCAAGGAGAAAAGATTCAACAAATGTCTGAAAAGAATTTAATAAATTTTATTAGCAAATGTTAAAACTGATCAAAATTATTAGTTCTTAAGTTACTTTTTCATTGCAAGAATTTCATTTTACTGATTAATTCAGAATACATACGGCTAAAAACTTCCTAAATTTTTACTGTTTGTAAAATATTATTTTTCAAAACATACGCCTACTTTAGTTTCATTTTTAATGATAAGAAATATTTATTTCTAAATTGTATCCCGCAAAAAATAAACCCCAGACCAGGGCAACATTTTCTATCTATATCATGTTTGTAAAACTTTAAAATTTAACTGAGGTTAATTAAATTAGTTGTCTTCCCTTTTGTCTCGAAAAAAAAAAATACAAAGTATCAAAATAGATTTTGCAATGACTATATGTTTTTAATCAATGATTTTAAAAAAGCATAAACATAATATTATTATAAACATAATATTCAAAAAAAAATTTTTTTTTTTTGATCAGATAAAATAAGTTTTACAATATAATCAAGAAGATTACATACTTCTAATATTGCTTTGTTACGTATTTAAAGAAATATGAATGGGCATAAATTTGAGATTTGCCACAGACGCTATTTTCGCTCTTTCCTTAGATATGCCTGTGCATATGAGGTCTTGACAATTGAGTTACTTTTATAAGGATAGTTCGAAATGAGTAAAAGGGTTGACATAAACGGTAAAACTCTCTGCAAACATAAGCATTTACAATTATTAATGCTAGCTAAAAAACTTAACAGAGAATTTAAAAATTTGCATTAAAAAAAAATACAACAACACATGCATTAACATATTCTAAATACTATAATTTTTGCATAAATCGTCTTATTTAAGGAATACTGAAAATTTTTTAAAAAAATTGAAAATAACTTACAAATAAAAAGAGGCAAATGAAATTTAATGGAAATGTTCTTCTCACATTATCACAGCAAGCCATAGCAATCATCAATACAAACACCATGACACTAAAAGAATTTTTAGAAATTAAAAGGTAAAAGAATAGAGAATTCAATTAAGATTAATCTTTCAATAAAATTATGGTAATACATTTAATCGGGAAAACAATTATTTAAAGAATACATTCATGATGTCTTCAGCTAGATACCATATTGGTTGAATGAAAAGAAACACTTTTTTTCCAATCAATTTTCTTTTTAAACCACCAACTGATCTGCCCCAAGAACAAACTAATTTGTTGATTGGTTTAAAAAATTTACAATACTTGCATAACACCTTTCTTGTATGTAAACTCCTTTCCTTAATTTTATTTTTCGAATCTTAGATAATCTTTTTTTTTCTTCTGGTCATTTAGATAAAGATGACACAATCCATATACACCATATGTTAAAAATTCTTCATTAATGGGAATCTCTGAAATCTTAGAATAAAGCTTTATAGCATGTCTAATCACTAACCTGTCATTTAATCCCTAATTTAACAACTTATTCTGACATGCAAAATTTATTCTTTCATAAAACTCTACGAGATACAGAAAATCCTCACTTCATCTCACTGTATCAATGAGACAATGACAGACAGACATTAAAGAGCTCACTTATACATGGATATTTGAAGTGTCCCAAATCAGTTTTCAGATATTCGGCCAAAAAAGATCCAATTCTTGAATCACTACTAATAGCGAAACTCACTTTCTGCTAATAAAATCTTCTAGTCATATTTAGCATCATTTTTTTTAATGTTAGTAAATACATATTTTGCCAATAGAAGCAGCATTTTTTCAGAATGGTATGCATCCAGTTAAAGTTCTCACTAACTATTGAAAAAAATATGCAGTTGGGCCAATCTGCAGAAAAAAACTTAAGCCAAGTGAATAAAATTTTTTTAGCCGAATAAGTTTTCTACACCCAACTTAGTTACTGATCCAAATTAAACTATTGATACAGAAATTATCAACAAAAAAAATTGAAATGTCACGAAAAAGAAGAAATTCAACTCATCTGAAACACATGTCTGTAATATTGTTAGACAGAAAAAAAATTTGTTTTCTCAGCTCTTACAATTTGGCAATTGTTGTAGTTTCTTTTGTCACAGAATGAAACATTTGCCACAATTTGTAAATTGGGGTGCAAAAACCATGGTTCAGTTGTAAATTTGACAGCAAATTGCTTCTTTTAGAAATATTAATAATGTCAAGATGCAGTTATAGGTACACATCTAACCTGTTTATTTTTGCACAATTTATTTTGATATCTTTTCCTAATATTAAGTTTTTTATTCCTAATACTCATTTTCGAAAGGTTCATTTATTTCTGTATCAGAGCAAAAAAAAAAAAAAAAAAAAAAAAAAANAAAAAAAAAAAAAAAAAAAAAAAAAAAAAAAAAAAAAAAGACATGAATTTTTATTTCAGTATCCAATACATGTATTGGAACTACTAATGTCGACCTTTGAAAATTTTCTAAATATGAATGAACCATATAAGTTTGAGCTTTCTACAATGAAATTCACCTTTTTGCTTTCTTAATTTTTCAGATTGAGTAAATTCGCCATCTTAAAAATTTAGACAATATTTTGTGGCCAATCACTATTCAAGAAGTTTTTCAATTGCTTGTGTTCTTTTTTCTCTTTTTCCTTATTTTCAAAAAATATTTATATTATTGCCCACTAGATTACTAATAAATATTACTAGCCACTAAATAAATAGGGGAATCTTCCTATTCTTCAATTCCTTGAAAAAATATTAATCCATATTTCTCTTCATCAATAAGTACAACACTTACAATTCACTTACAGGTTTATCAGAAGTCAACCTCAATAACTTGAGTGGCAAACTTACACTGTTGAGAACAGTTTCTTCTGAGCACTTAAAAAATTGTTTCTAAATGTCAGTATACAACTTCTTTAGGCTGTTTGAATAAATACATAATTTGAAACTGAAGTTCCTTCTTTACTGTATTATTTACAGTATCATCAAACAACAGTGTGGAAAACAGTTCATTTAGATTAATTAAGCTGTTTTTAACAATATGAGACAACAGAAAATATTAGAAAAATGTTTATTAAATTAAAAATTAAACTCGGATTAAATTATAATAAAAATTACAATTTAGAGGATTATTAAATGAAATAGAATATAAATTAATTAAAAATGCAATGAACTTTTAGAAACATATTAGGTAATTTTACTTTAACTGATACAACTTTTTCAATGGCCCTGGTCTAGTCACACTATTTGATGCAAAAGCACCAGGAATGGACATTCTTTTGCCAATGAACCAGAATAAATGCATTATGAATTGACCTAAGTACTCAAAAGTAACTAATAGAACAAACCACAACTTAAATAAAAAAAAAAAATACAACTTACATGGCAACGATAATCATCTCAGAATGTTCCGCTGTATAATTTCGCACAGATTCACTATAAAAAAATACATACGAACTTACAAACAAGAAGTACTTAAGAATTATATGGTTGACATCTACTTATTTCAGTTTTATAAAAGTAAAATCTTCAAATTAGATCAATTATATAATGGCTTGAACAGTGAAAGAACAAGAGTAATCAAATTATATACGAGTCATTCCAATGTATTCATGTGGGAGATTTCATAGTCAAGCTCTGATATACTTTTCTTTTTTTTATTATAAAAACAATTTTTTTAACTACACTATTCTGAAATTTATTTCTAGTTGAGGTAAAAAAAATCTAATATAATACCAAAAAATTATATTGTACATTCTCAAAATTTTGAGCTTTTTCCACAAATTTCTAAAATTTTTCACAAATTCCATGTACTTCTGTTATCTATTTTTTTGAAACTACGCCAAATGCTGAGAGTTAAATAATGTTACTTAGCATTTCAAAAGCAAAACTAGCAATGTCTGTATTTTTTTTTACACTATGAAAAATTAGTTACTCTACTCTAACTGTAACATAAAGTTATTTTAAACATACTTGGTTACTTGTATATAATAATACATAATTTTTGATACAAAAATAAAAAATTTGATAATTCATATGACTAGTAAAAATTCATAGCATTCTCAGAATTTAAAAATAAAATATTTTATAAAGTTGTTACAGATCCAATGGAAAGCTCTAACAACAAACAATTACTCATTAATTTGCCCACCATCCCCTAAAATTCTTTAGCCCCTACTGTAACAAGGCATCCCTTATTTTTTGGAGCTTACGATCTAGAATTATGCTAATCTTTCATTAAAAAAGAATTCAAAATGCTCTGATTGCTGGGTAGTAACACATAATAGTGATTTAAAACTTTTGTTATCAAATGATTCATTCTCAAAGACAGTATTTTTATTTTGAAAGAACAAATAAGTTTAATTTTTGCTTAATGGGTCAGTACATAGGAATAAATATTTCAGTTTTGATATTTTAAAATGCATTAAGACAACAATGCATTTGTAGAATAGCAAACAGATTTTTAGAATATTGGTCATAATGACTAAAATTTTGAAAAAAGGGGCACATAAAAGAGTGTAGAATGTGTTTAATAGCTCAAATTAAAGTTCATTAAACTCGATTTTGGATCAAGATTAATAAAAATCATAGATTTCATGGTAAATAAATAAAATGAAAGTGTGATGAAATGTCTCTAAAAATAACTAAATATTTCACTTTAAAAGGAGAAAATATATGTATTTCAATAAATCCCCACTTTACTAAACCTAATAATATTAAAAAATAATATACTATTACACTGATTTTATAAATTAAAATATTTTATTTTAAAATGTAAATAATGGTTATTATTTTTTAACAAGCTTGATTAAAAAAAATTTTTTTTTTAAAAAAGGCATTGCCTTCTATTGAATAAAAATAAATTAAACATAAAATTTTGCAAAAATAATTTTATATTGGAAAAACAGTGTATTCTGTAGAGAGACTCTTAAATCTTGAAATTAAAGAATGAACAATAAAAAAGAAAAGTTTGTTATAATATTTGAGCCAAAAAACTTACTTGTAAATAAAGAGGCAAATAAATCCAACAGTGATTGCCAACTGGACCATCAATATAGAATACACTTTCCGAATAAAAGCTAGGAAGAAAGTTAACATGAGTAATTTAAAATAGAATAAATGAAAAACAAAGAAGTTTTACATTTATTTATTTTTTTAAATTTATCTATTTTATTATAATACACAAGAGAACTAGGCAAATATTTACATTTATTACTGTTCAAATAAGAATAGTTCAAAATAGAAATTAAAAAGAATAATCAAAAGCTTTATTCAACCATAAGAATATGTAAAACTGTAATAATTCAAAATAAAAAATACACAAAATAATGCTCAAGCATGAACAATAATTTAAAAGATTTATGATGTTAAAATGTTTTTACTTTATATAAGTCTTCAGGTAAAAAAGCAATACTTATGAAACAGTAAAATACTATTTTAATGGAACAAGTTTGAAACATCAAGGTAGAAAAATAGAAAAGAAAGAGGTGCTAATTAATGTGACACTCTAAATGGGGAAAAATACCATAAAAATCTTTTCACTGAAATAAATAGAAAAATTAAAAGTTTCAAAGGGGTAAACAACTTACAGCTCCTAATTTTAAAAAGATATTTATTTACTTTAAAAACCTTCAATGCTTATTAAAAAATTCAGTTTAGAAATTCTTTTTTAATTTTAATACATAAAATTAGATAACACTGTGACATATTTGAATTGTTGCATAAAAATTTATTTTTGTTTTTGCTAACTGTCAGAACAATGAAAACAGTAAAAAAATATAATAGTGAATTTATAAAGTTATTTTTAATTAAATAATTCTCTAATCATATTATATGCATAAAGTATGTTTAAAAATACTCAGTAGTTAATTATTTGTAATTTAAAACTTTTAGAAATTCTAAATTACAACTGTATGTGCCCACAAGATATTCTTCTACATATGTTTAATGTAACTAGACAAAATTAATTTAATGCTAAACTTGTGTTCAGCTTGAGTTTTGTTTTCAGTGAGAGCTAAGACATTTTAATTCCCACTGAAAATCCTTACCTTCGATTTAGTTTCTAGAATAAAGACTTTTACTGTAAGATTAGTCTTGATTGCATTGTAATAGCATAGTTTACTAATTAGTTTATTTATTTATTTAATTTTTAAAAATAAGTCAGATTTTGAAAAAAATTGTGTCTGATATATAAATTTAATTCCTAACTTTCATTACAACTGTCTACTAAAATTTAAATTTATAATTAGACATATAGGAATATTTAAAAAATTTTTTTTAACTTTTATGCTATTTATGATAAACTATGTTCTTCCTTTATTAAAATATTTATTTTAATCCTACAACTTTTATGTGTACTAACAATAATTTTTTACTCTCTTTCCTTTTTGTTTTTAAGCATTTTATAAATTTATTATAGAATGGAAGACTTGAAACTACTCTGTTGCCAAACACTGAAAATTGAATTTGAGCAAGTAAATAAATTCTATGAATTATTTGGTCAAAATAGTATTTTCAAGTAGTATCAAAAGGTACATAAAACATTAGTCTAAACTAGTACAAGTGAGTATGAAATCTATAATCAAGGTTCCCTATTAATAATTTAATCTTCAAATAGGTATTAGCTAGAAAAAAGTAACTATGTTTTTAAAACCATTTGTGCAACATATTTACATCTTATAAATAGTTTTCATAAAAACTTATATAAACCATTAAATTACAATAAATGTGACAATCTCGTAACTAGAAATAAGCACTCTTTGTTATAAAACATAATTGAAGAGGATGAAGAATAATACTGAACAGCATTAGAATGATAATTTTTTTAAAGAGAAAAAAAAGAGAATTAACAAAAAATATAAATACTTAGGGAGGTTGTAACATTTTGTTAATAAAAATTTTAAGTGTATTCAGTATTAGATTGTTTAAACAAAGATTTTTTTAAGCCAAATTGCTTTTAAAAAAAAAATGGTTCTATTATTATTTTTTAATAAGAGTATTTATATATACAATAAAAAGTAATATTTTTTTATTAAACAGGAAAAATACTTTTTATTTAATTAAATATCACAGAATGAAAAAATATAAAAATTTTTAAATTTGTGTTTAATAGTCAATATGAATTACTGTTCTGGAATGTTAATCTGCATTATCATACTAGAAGGGGGGAAATCACTTTTATATGCATTACTAAAATAACATTTTTAGATGTTGAATGTTCACTAGCATTTCAAGTGGATTGTAAAGCAGTATGTAAACAGATTAAAAATATTTAGTAATTATTTCTTTTACATCATATTAGCTTAGTTATAGAATAAAAGTGGATACATTCGGAATTTATTAAAAAATCGATCGATAGATTAAAAAAAAAAGGTCTCAATGAAATATTCATGAATGATTTAGATACCTTTAATTTTGGCTTTTGAGTATTATTTGACCTTAATAATTTTTTTTTAATGTAAACCAAAACCAGAATTTTTTTGTTCAAAAAAAAAGTTTTTTGAAATCTTGAGTATATCAAATAAATTTCTTCCTGAAAATTAGAAAGAAGTATATTTCAAATATCAAAGAAATAAGCAAATATAAGTTATCAAAATACTTACCCATGCGAATGGCTTTCTCAGAAAAACTGCTTCCAAACTCTGCCCCCAAAGTAGCATATTCGGAATCTGTTTTAAATTCGTTCATGTTTTGTCCTAAATGAAGTTTTAGCATTAGTTAATATAAAAAATAAACAGGTCAGAACATAAGATAAATTAGAAATAGAAGGAAATAAAAAAGAAAACATAGTTCAAAAAATAGAAAAATTTTAACCGAAAAAATATGAAAATTTGTAAGTGCCAGAAGAAACTAAAAATCATTTTAATTAAGAAATTTAACCAATTTAAAATACACAAAGTAGAAATTAAAAAAATAATGAAAAATATTTAATGTCACAAGAACAAAATATAACCAAAGCTATAAGTTTTCAATTAGATTGAAGAAATTCAAACCTTGAGCATTGCTAAATTTCTCAGTTTTATTTTTAATCTGTTTCATTCCCCATTGAAGCAATGAAATTTTTTGTATTGCTTTGTCTTCTTAAAGCAAAGAGCTAAAATTAAAATGTCAGAGTTTTAGCTACTCGGAAAACAAACTGAATTTTGATTGATGATAAAAGAGCAAAATTAACGGTCGCCACCCCTCAAACAGTGAATAAATACAATAAAGTGGCTACCAAAACATTACCATCATTCACAGATAACTTTCCTGCTTTTTTGTCATTTGTCACCTCATTCTCACAACTCCTTAGTTTCTGGTAATGTACCTACATAATGCACATAATTACATTTATTTTTAATAACTTCTGATTATTTCTTAATCAACTCCTTGACAAGTTGTATGTTGGTAGATAGTTTCTCATAAAGAATCTTTAAATAGGTTAAATTTAAATACAATAAAATTTAATCCTAACTTTTTTTTAAAAATCTATATAAATGAACGATTCTATTTCTTTATTATGTTCTGATATGATACTCTTTAATGACTTTTTCTACCATATTTTATTGACAGTTTGTTATAACATCTTTTCAGATTTGGCTAACTTTGTTTCTTAATGAGATTGTAAAGTAGAATTAATTATTGATGTAAAGAAACTCCGTTAAGAGTAGGCAGATGTTTGATTTTGCTTCTTTCCTTAAGGATGAAACAGGAATAAAAAGGCAGGGGCAGTATTAAATAACAATGAAGCAAGAATAGGAATGGCAAAAATAGTAAATAAGTTCCTAAAAGTAATAGTTCCAAAAAAAAACAAACTTGACAATGATTGAAGGATGTGCCGCGATGGCTCAGAGGATAGAGCGCTCGCAAATCAGGTTCGAATCACAGTCTCTACGAATTCCGTATCCGGTGCACCGACCACAGTGCTGATGTGAAATATCTTCAGTGGTAGATGGATCATGGGTTAGAGTCCCCTTGCCTTCAGGCTAACCGTGAGATGTTCTCCTGGTCTTCCTCTCCATGTAACGCAAATGCGGGTTAGCTTTATCAAAAAGTCTTCCACGAAGGCAAATTTCTCCCAATACTCAATCCAGAAGTTCCCGTGTCTTTTGGATTGGTTCAAAATTACAAAGCTACAGAGTTGAACATTAGTAGTCATAAACCCATAAAATTGGGTCGGCTGTTCAACGACAGTTATAAAATAAAATAAAATGATTGAAGGATAAGGTTTATCTGAAATAATAGAGAATAAAAAAAAGCAAATCAAATGCAAATGAATGAAAAAAATTAAAGATTGTACAATGTAAAGATAAAAAAACTGAGAGCAGCAGTAACCTTAATATTTTATGTTTAACTTATTTTCTAGAGACATTTTTTAGTGTCAAATATTATTTTTGCATAACATTTATTTAAGCTATGAAAAATAAATATTTTTTCATAAAAATTTAGAAGCAAATAAAAAAACTAACTGAAACAGGTAAATCAAATGCAAAAGGTCAAAAAAAAAAAAAAAGAATGAATGAACAATGAAAGNAAAAAAAAAAAAAAAAAAAGAGAGAGAAAGAATGAAACAATGGTTGTTGAAAGCAGTTGTAGAAATTCTAACCTTAATATTTTATGTTTAATTAAATTAAAAAGCTTAATTTTACAGAGTTTGTTATTACATTTCATTCTGACAGAGAAGTTTAATGATTATGAGAGAAACAAGTTTAAAATCGAGCATTTTATATATTCTTTTTCCATTTTTTTTTTAATAATTTTTCTTCAAAACATATTTTATAAAAATATATATACTTTGTAGTATTACATTTATTTAAACTAAAAAAGAAAACATTTACTACAACTATTTAGCAGCAAAATCATTAATAAGGTACTTTAAACATAAAAAGCGGCCAGTAAAACGAAAAGTGGCAACCAATAAAAGCAGTTGATGAATTTTCTAGTATTGCCCCTTATTTATAACAAATTCCCTGTAGGGTGCACAATAAATTCCAAATTGTAGCCATTAAATAACTTTTGCAACTTGTCTTGTCACACAGCTCAGAGATAGAAATAAAATTTGAGTGAGTTCTATAGAGATTTAGTATGAGGATTGACATTTAATTCTCTTATAACAAAACATTTAGCTTATAGTATTATCGAAACAACCAACTAGTATTCATTTTTATTATGACTAGTATGAGTCAACTAGTATGAATTGTTACTTGCCAATAGTGACATCATTTACCATATGGAAGCAAAAACTACAACTCTCCTCATAGAGATTTTCCTTAGATTGAATAAAATAAAAACAGTTAAAAACTTTTAAAAAAATAAAAAAAACGCAGCAATGAAGTTAGTTCTCTATTAAAGTTTAGTTGTCATTCATTTAATTTCTGCATTTTTGCTTTAAAAAATAGTTTCCTTTTATTTCATGCATTTAAAATAAATCTGAAGTTCGAGATTAATTTTCGGATAAAGTGGTAAATCAGAGACCTCTTGCTTTGGCAAAAACTATCAATTGTACAATTTTATTGAAACTCCATTTCTGGTCACCACAACATTCATTAATGTTACTTTATGAGAGAGTTTTTTATTTGTTGTTAAAATGCCTAATAAAAGTCAATATATGTCTAAATATTTAGTTTAGAGTTTTAGATGTTATAAATAGATTTGTGTAAGAAAAATGTACCTACAATTCTAAAGTTCATCTATATCAATAAACACTATTATAATTTCAACATTATATAATATTTTGAAAAGCTATGTTTACTTTGATGCAACAAAGCAAACACTGGCAAATTATATTTGTCAAACTACATCGTTTGAAAGGGGAAATCCCCTTCCTTCCGGACCATTGTAAGCAAATTCAAAGGAGTTGAGGAAAAGTTTTTATGCATGAAAATAAACTAGCAGACATGCTAATAAATAATTCATGTAACATTTAATAAAATAGATAACACCATACAGTCAATCGAACTGATAAACACTGAATATGTATATTTTAATGCAACGCAAAATACTATTGTGTGGAAAACATACCAGTAAAAAGGCTAAAAATCTATCTTTCAAAAAATATAAATAGTAATAAATAAAATTAAATTGAATTACGCTTACTCAAATTTTAAATCTGAGTAGTACTAATGATTTTACGATTAAAAACAGATGACAAGAACCAAGAGCAACACCATGAAATTTCGAAGTGGAAGTTGTAGTGTGGCGAAAATGTCACTTGGTTTTAACCAACGCATTTACACTGTATACAAAAACTTGCATATGCGAATTTGGAGATGTGAGCAAAAGCCTTATTCGTGATTTTTTATAGCACTAATTAGGTTTTTGTTTGTAACTTCGAATTCGTATGAGTGAATTTTTCATGCGAATGTTTAGAAACTAGATAAAAGGCAGAATACTCGCTCATGCTCAAATTACATTGATGTACAACAACATGTACGAATTACATAAAGTAAGAATGCTCCATTAGGTTTCATACTTATGGGCCATTTCTGTTTTATGTAACGCAGAGAAAAACTGCGAACTACGATCATAGAGTTGAACCGCATTCAGTGAGATGGTCCTTTATATGATTGGCTGATTCTGAGGATTTACTTTCTAGAGATTATGCTCTAAGTATTACGTACTCAAAGAATGCTTATAATTTTTAATAAATTTCTTTTTGATTTTATTCCAGCTTACTCATATAAACATTAATTATTAGGCATATGAACTAAAAAGAGTCATCTCGATCATACTGAGCTATAAGCAAAATTTATTTTCATTGTTAGAATTTGTCATCAACTTTTTCCTCCAATTCGGTTTGTTTTGATTCGATATTTTTCTGGGGTCGTTCTCCTTAAGTAATATTTTTCAATCTTTATTAATCATTTTAATAATTTTACCATTTTCTTATTTAGATTGTAATTGTTGCTTCTTTGTAATAATTCGATAAATTTTCATTTTATTTTCAGAATTAAAATATGGTCCAAAGATTGACGTACAGACGAAGACTGTGCTATAATACTCAGTCTAATAGGGTGAAAATGTAATTATAATTATTTATTCTTTTATTTGTCTCCTCACTTTTTTATTTGCTAAATAATGAATAGTAAAAAAAATTAACACTTAGATTCTAATACATTGATGTTCTTTTTATTTTTTTGTCAAATGCGTTTATTTTTGTTCTTTATTAAATAAATTGTAACTGATTAAGAGTATTTTTTTATATTCAATTATAATCTTGTTTTTATCTTTTGAAGGTCGAGAAATTATTATGTAAGCTAAAATAATTGTGGAAAATTTCTTTCTTTTTGTATAATGCATCGATTTATCCACAAGTCACTCGATATCAGGTCCATATTCTGGCAGGTCAGAAAAATCCTGAAATTGTCAGGAAAAATATTGGATAATCAGGAAACCTGTATAAATTCCAACATCATATCTGGAAAATAAGATTGTCAGTAACTGTAATCATTTATTGATATTAGACTTAAATTTGTTGTAAAATTCCACATTTTAGCAAAAATTTTCCAAGTTTTCATCCGTATTTAATGATATTTTTTACCCACAAAATCTAATATCTGACATTACAAATGAATCAATCAGCTTATCGAAGAAAAATTGAATGGTTTAGATAAAGTATGGTCTTAAATATACACTACAATTCCTGGAAAATTCAAAGGATTTTTTTTTCTTCTGAAATTAAATGAGAACCCTGTGTAATGATCCTTTTAAGCTAAATAAAAACATGTTTTAACATGAGATATTGTGAGTATAAAAAGATGTTTTAAATACTTACTTATATTTCATAATTACTGATTTTTTTCCATCAAAAACATTCTGCATTTTGAATAAAAGTACAAAATTTTTTATCTGCATTAAGTATGATTATTCAATTTAGTACAGTTCAGGTTTAAAAATATATTTAAATACTCATGAGTAATTGTGTAAAAAAATTTTATTTTCCAATACCTAATAAAATTTTTCAGGGAAATAAAAAATTAAATTAGCTTTATTTGGGAAAAAAATAGCGCATTTTTCTTATCTTCGATAACATGATTATCTTGAAGGCCTTGATGAATAAATGAAAATGTAAAAAAAGCTTTTTTTTTTTTTTTCTACCCTTTAGGGCTGGTGAAATAACAGTCTCTATTTGGAGGGTTTTTGAGAATTTCTCATTAATAATCTCCAGTTTTGCTATGGATTTCGTTGTTGCATAATATGTAGTGGTTGTTCAATTTCTAAATATAATATATCTGTTCTGCATTTGTTATCCATAACTATTCATTATTTTAATTATAATATAACTGTTTGAAATTTTTGTCGGTTTTCTTTTTTCTATTACTTAAAAATTGTCAAAATCTGTGTCGTGAGGTGAAATCAATTAATATTATGAGAAGTTGATATGTTTTTCTTTTCATTAAATAAAATAATTAATTTTGATGAACGAATTTTTTAGGTTTTAAAATTGCATTAAATAAGATTAAAAATTAGAATTTATAATTTTTTGATAGTAGAAATTGACACAGTGGAGAAAAATGCCCTGAAAGCTGAAGGTATTTTTTCGTAACACCGCAATCACTCCTGAATAATGTGCATAACTTTGATATTAAAGAGTGTTAATCGGATTCTTTATTAATATAAGAATTGTCCTTATTTTATATTAAAATATAGACAAATATTTTCTTCTAGTTCTTTAGGTGTTATAAAATAAAAATTTTCATTCTTTTCTTTGAAAAATTGCTGGTACTATTCAGGAAAGGAAAAAGAGAAAATTATTCCAGCTGAATGAATTATGAATTTATTAAGAATAATAAACTATTTTCTCTATGAAATATCTGGCTCATATATGTTTTACAGTCGATTAAAAACAAAATACATATCCAGGTATTGTTTGTTACTTAGAAGGTTCTTAGTAGAGCAAGGTAGGTGTTCTGCTAATGGAAGAAATAATCATATTCAAGGGTCTGTCCAGGTCAAATTTACTACCGTTTAGTGATACCTTCACAAATTCAACTTCAGGGAAAATGGTAGTTTCACAAAATTTTTCTTAAAATTTTATTTTTGTATACTGTAAGAAACGATAAACTATATTTTTACCACATTTTTGTGATAATTTTTTAATTTTCACAAATTATGTCTAAATTTTCACAAAATAGGCACCTCAGACCCCTGATATTATAGAAATTTCAGAATTATATTGGCAAGTTATCCCAATTAGTTTAATGAACTATTAAAAGGAAAAATAAACATTCTTATTATTGTTAGTATGTAAGTTATTATGGTTCTTCCTTCTTTTTTTTATTTTAATAAAAAACAAATTTTTATTGTAAATATTTTAAAATTGTTACCATTTGTATGAGTTTTGTTTAAATGACTTAATATGACTCTTTTCTTTTTAGATCTAAAACACCTGGTGGAAGACTTGTATATCTTTATCCTGGTAAACCTGGAAAAATCCCAAGATGTGGAGATTGTCATTTGAAATTGAGAGGAGTATGTTGAAGTTTTTGTTTCTCAAATTTATACACAAGACAAATTTATTAATTTAAAAATTTCTTAAAATAATGCATTTTATCTCTTGAATTTAAATTACGATGAATAAATTCAAACAGAGTTAATTTTATCTAAACTCAGAAAATAATTTTTGTACATCGTACTAAGTTCTAATTAATTTTAGGTTGTAAAATTATAATGGAATTATAATTATAATGAGAATCTTTTAATTTGCCAATATTTATTTGTATATTTTTCAACATATTTAAAGGTAAACTGCCAAAGTATGCTTTTATTAAGTATAAAAACATGTTGTAAGCTATATAATTTCGATGAAAATTAATCAAATTGGGTAAAAATAAAAAATTCTCTTCACATAATTATATGTTTTAAATATGTTTACAAACTCTTGTCTTAAGCCCTACATTTTTGTTTTTATTTCTTCAATTATTTAGATATTCTAATTTCCAATGTATTGTATCTTGATTTAAAATAGCTTTAAAATAAAATCATTGCAAGTCACTTAGGGAAAATGTACAATCGATGCATTATTTCTTATTACCCTGCAATTGTTAAGATTGTAAAGTATTAAAAAAATATTTTTGAAATTCTTAACCTCCGACATGGTAATTTTTTGAGATATGAAATCGATAAATTTTACTCCTTTTGTTTTGTACAAATAAAGAGATTGGCTTGAAATGATGCAGTTGAGATTTTTTTTTTTTTAACTATGAAAAAAAAATTATATTTTAAGCCCTGTTTAACAAATAAATGTTTAGTTACTTGATTGTAAAATTTCCCTTCGAATTGTAATGTAAATAGTAAAAATGTTGATTTCAGATAGAATGTCCCACTGTAAAATATAATGAATTAAGCCACAAGTACTTCTCTGTTAAATTAAACATTATAACAGTATTATTACTATAGTCTGTTCAACGAGAACCGATAGGGGAAGTAAACATAAGGGTTGCTGTTTGATCGCCAACTTACCACTTCAACGGTTTCCTCAGTGAATGGGCGATTTCGTTTGAATAGACAGAGCTTTCGCTTTTATAGAAAAACTAAAACAATATTCGGTTTTTGATACCTTAAAATTAGATAAGAAAGTGCAAAATTAAAATATTTACATGAAAATATGTTTCTAATTGTTTAAGTAGACACATAATTTTATTTTGAGAATAGTTTTAATGTAATTTTTAAGTTTAAATTAAATTAGTTTTAATATATTTTGTTTAAATATCTATGCAAAACAACTTTTATAATTCCATCGTAAAAGTCGTATAAAATTGAAAAAATATGTTTAAAAAAAATACTCTTTATTTTCACAATTACAATTTTTTTTAAAAATTTATTAAATGTTAAATAATATTTAAAAATAGTTTTATATTTCACCGATTGATTTGAAAATATATTTGAAGGAACTGCATTTATTTGTATTTTTAAACTGTTATCTTTATTTTTCTAAGAGAAGTATGTTTGAAGCCTAATTTTTTTAACAAGGAATAAAATGTCATTCTTTTAAAGTTTGGTTAATTAGAATCATCGTTCACAGCTTTGATAACTTAGTTTATTGTCGGAATTTTGTTGTGGCAGAAAAAAGCATTTTTGTTGAAATTCTCAATGACAACCAAAAGAGTTTTACGAGAATTAGTCCTCTTTGGTGAATGTAATATATTATCCCTTTTATATTCTTTAATAATTCTGAATACTTCTGTTTTATAAATGTTCAATATTATTTCCTTCTCAGCTTTACTTATGTAAGATTTCTTCTGCCGTTTTTTAGAAGGACTTAAATCCGTCACTTTATTTTCCATATTGCTCATCCAACAACCCTCTAAGAAATGAGAGTTTTTGCTTGGCTGATAATCGCTATTTGTCATTAATCCGGCGCCAAGCAGACAACTGTATTGCGCCAAATAGCACGCCGCTTTGTTTACTTTCACTATCAGTTCTCGTTGAACAGACTATAGTATTTATTTAATGATAAACAAATATTTAAATCTAAAAACTATTCAAATGAAAAGTCTACATTCATTCAATGAATTTAAATTATCCATATAATGGTAGTTATGATTTATTCTTTATAAGAAAGTAGTATCTATGTGTTATTAAAACTTGTGTTACGTACAAAGTATAAAACTGAGTTCAAGTGTTTGGTTGTAACCTTTGGTTTTTAGGTGTCAGTCATTGTCTGTTAGACAAAATTTAATTCTCTAACATGTTTAAAAATTATAATTATGATTTATAAGCGTGTTTAATAATTTTTTAATGGGTTCGATATAATCTAGAAAGTTATATTATTTTGGTTCGTATATTTATCCTCTGTTTTATTTTTCTACCCTCTGCTATATGTTTAATTAAATGTTTCTGTTGTATTATAATCAGTTACATACAGTTAATATGTCTCAAGGTGAACCGGGAAAGCTCAAAGGGTTGGGGTTTTTTAGCCATAAGAATTGATATTTTAAGACTTCTTTTTTAAAGGATTTTTCTCATTCAGATCCCTCTGAGCACCCCAGAGCAGTGCCCAAAATCTGATGATGATGGGTACAATAAGCCTTGGCCCTTCATGGGCTGTAGCACCACTGACTTTAGTTAAGCTTTCATATTGCAATATGGATAATTGAAGATTTTTGGTTGTTAGTAAATGTGACCCTTTGAATATTGTGCAAGCTTATTATTGTGTTGTGCATATATGGATTTCTAAAAACGCCTGCTAGATATTATGAATATCTATACTAATTCAAGTGGGGAATCTGGTTATGCTGAATTTGATCAGTCTTGATGGGTTTTCCTGTATATTCTTCACTTTCATCTCAAAATTTTTGCTTTTGAATGTAGTAGAATTATACTTTGCCTTATGAACTTAAGCCTTCAAGCTTTTGAATCACTCTAATTTATATTTGTATCATAATTATTTTTAGATTACTCATGCTCGACCTAGAGAGCTCTCTGCATTGTCAAAACGACACAAGACAGTTACTCGAACGTATGGTGGATCTAGATGTGGAAAGTGTGTTAGAAGCAGGTAAGTTGAAATAATTGTTCAAATTTTTACTAGTTTCAGTGGAAATATTACTATTATTTTATTCAATTTTGGCATTATTTAAAGGTACAAGTGGTTTTGGTTAAATTTATCACATAGGAATTAAACATTTTAAAACTGGAAATGTGTTGCTACTGTTTAACCATATTCTGTAATGTAAATATAATTTGTAAGTTATTTGCGCATTTAATTAACTCTCACCAAAGTCAGGGAAAAACTTGAAAAAATTTGCCAGAATCCTGGAAAATGACATATTAGTAAGGATTGAAATAATATTGACGATTAAATTTTTCAATGAAATAATTAAAATTGAAAACTAACATCAGTAATATTTGCTAGCTTATAGCTCTATTTGATCAATAGAAGTTTATTGCGCATACTTAAATATTTAATTAATTCACTATGTCAGGTAAATTCTGAACAACGTCAACATGGTAGCATTAGTGGACTACACCACTAAATTAGTACTCTAATTATCTTTAATCTTCTAACTAGTAAAGTTATCTGATACCACATGTTTAGAGTAATTCTTTTGAATTGAAATTTGTTTCTGTAAAAGTAAATAATTTAAAATCAATGGTAAATGAAATAATTTTGAAAAAAATTAGCTATGCATTTAAATGCAAAATGAATAGAAAAGAGATTCTATTTTACTTAGGATAACGGTAAAAAAATCATCATACTATTTTTGACAACAATGATAATTAATGTTGATAATACATGTTAATCGAAATAGAGATAATAACCTATCTACTAAAGAGCAAAGTTAATGGGGAAAAGATACTTATTCCTTTTGAAGAACTGTAAAAAATTGCTATTTTATTATCGATGCCAATATTTAATTAATATGTATAAATAAAATATTAATAAAAATAAGCTGCTTGCTCAAAAGCAAAGGTAATTAAGAAAAGGTTGGGTTTTTTTTAAAATTCTGTTTCGATTTAAAAGTTATTTCTCTCTACTATTTATTTATTCGTGATTAAATTTTTTCAACCCCACTGTTAACAATAAATTTTTGCTGTTTCAGCACTAATTGAATTTTTTTTTTCTTTTAACATTTCAGAATCATTCGAGCATTCCTCATTGAAGAACAGAAAATAGTTGCTAAAGTTCTTAAAGCACAGCAGATGACCGCCAAAGCAACAAAATAACTTGTTTTAAATAAATTATAATGAAAAAAGATCTTGCATTGTTTCTTGTCTAATTTTTGTTTGTAAGTGCAAATTTATACCTTAAACCATTCTGTGGCTAATGTCAGTGTCCTATTGACTGCTATCACAAATTTTTCATCATTATGATTTATTTTCCAAAAACAATTACAGTTCTATCTAATGTAACATATTAATTGTACAAATGAAAATAGAAATAGTTTAATCTTAAGCCAAAGCACAGTGCTTTTTCAAAGTTAAAGTAGTATCAGAAAGAAACATCCACAAATTGTTCCTTTTTATATAGAGAGAGTACTTTTTTGTGGCAACTATTTGATATTATTTAATACACATTATCAAAGGATTTAATCCATCTTAATATTTGTTTCTAAGTATGAAAATGTGAATCTTCAAATGCAAAAAAATTCCTTCAATCAAACCTCTCACAGTAACATAACATATTATAGTTGAAGGTACATAATTAGAAATAAATATTTATCTAGAGAAAGTTCTTAAAATAAAATTTAACTCTAGCACAATTCTTTCCTAGTGTATATCAAGAATTGTGCTGGAGTTAAATTTAAGCATTATTTGTACAAATTTTCTCAAAAAGATTCTAATTTTTATTAAGGAAGTGTTAAATTCAATTGCAATTTGTTAACAGAATATTAAATCTTCTAATTGGCATTTATTAAAAGTTGAATCCAATTTAAAGTTTGTTTAATAATGAAATTTTTACAGCTAAAGGAAAGATCATTAGTTAATTTTTATTTGATATTTTGTGGTGGTTTTCATTTTCCTCCACTTAAGAACAACACACATTTATAAACTCAGCATATTTAATTTTGAAAAAAAAAAGTTTTTAATATCTCAGATACTATGCCACATTAAAAAATTTATAAAACATTTTCAGTCGTAAGTTTTAAAAAGAGGAACCTTCTCTTAAAAATGATGAATAAAAACTGTCATTGGTAATGTTAATTGTGAAATCAGTTGTTTAAATAAATGTTTTTGTACAGCAATGCTAAACTGAAAAATTTTTTGGTTTAGTTTCTCCTATGGTATAATTTGTTTAGAAGTTAGTAATATTGGAGATTATGAAACAGAGGAATTAAAATTTTTTTGAAAGTATTTTTGTATTTTATATAAGTTGCGTTACAATTTTGTGCCGCTAATAAAAATTTGCCCCATTCTTATTTTTTTCCTATGTAAGTTTTATTTCAATTGCTTTATACTTTGATCATGTTGGCTTATTTCTAACTTCTAAAAAAAATGTATGTACTTAATCAGAAAAAATAATAAAATTGATTTGGTTTTGAATTAAGAAAGAGAAAGCTGGTGTGTGAATATAATTTTTCCAGTTAAGTTAAATTCATAAACGTGTTGGCAAAGTAATCTCTATTACTGGGGTAATTTTGGCCGTCAGATGATCCTAGTTGAGAACTGGCTCAAAAGTCAATTACATACTTGTATATAACATTTTTCCTTAGAGAAAATGTGTTTGGAACAGGAAAAAAACGATTTATAAATTATATTTATACAAAGCACTCGTTAAATTGATAGATTCTCGTTACTAAATTCCATATGTTAAAAAGAAGAAACATTGTGTGTTATACATGATGTGATTTTTTTTTGTTGGCATATTGAGGAATCTTTCATTCCATCATTTTTACATCGAAAATAGTTTAGTTATAAGTAAGTAGAAATGGTAGTATCTTTCTCACGACTTGAGCTTTTGTTGCATGCTAGTTGTGTTGACACTTGTGACAGTTATTAAGAGATCCGACCAAACTCTGCTATCAGAGTGGGAGGAAAATTCCAAATATGCTTTTAATCCTCTTTAATTTTCATAAATAAACTGATAAAATATTTACTCTATTTAGCGGTACCTTTCAATACATGTAAAATACAAGACCACCACACATTTTGAGATATAAAGCGCGCGGTACTTTAGATTCTCTATTAATTTTTTCTGACAAAATTATCCCAATACAATTTTGCTAACAAAAGTGTTTGATAGGTAGTTGAATAGTTTACAGTTGTCTGTTTTTATGTAATTGACGTTAAAGAAGCTATAGTTCGCTAATTTTTCTATAGATTACGATGCCAAACTAAAAAATGCTCGAAAATTAAATTATTAAAAATTCTATCATGTCCTTAATTTAAAAATTATTATCTGCTTGCAAATGTTGCTAAGGTACTCAGCGTTGTTTGATAATGTTACTAACGCCCTGAAATTACTTGCTGGACAGTAACTTAACTACAGTCGAACCCCGCTATAGTGAACACTCGGATGTAGTGAACTTTTTTAGCGGTCCCGTCCGTATACATATTTAAATAATGTTATTTTTAACGCTTATAGTGAACAGCTTAGAACTTGGAAACTCTATTATAGTGGACTCAAATTTCATTTCTTTAAATATCTTTTTCAGTCCTCCATCTTTAAACTTGTAGGTGTTGGGACTGAAAATGAATGCCTTCTGCAATTTCGTTCCCAATTTAAGC